TCCCTACCTACAGACACCATGATCTATGCAGGAAGTCCTTGTGGAGCAGGAGAGCACAGGGGGCAGGTTTGGGATTTCTTTCTTCTGCTTGTTGTCATTTGAGGTCTGCAGAAAGAGGGGGCCATCCTCAAGCCTGCAGAGAGCTTTCTCCCATGTTCTACTGCTTTTTGCTACCCTCAGGACTTTCTGAGGCTGGAGGTGGGATCTCACCACTTGCAGAGATGGTTGGTCTCAAGGCTGGTGAGATTCCCACTGTTGTCAGAGTTGGTTTGTTCTGTGTAGCTTTCAGGGCCTTCCAAAGGGGAAGCACTATACAAGATGAAGTTCAGATTGCATAGAAGTTGGGCCTTTTTTCTCATGAATAATAAACATAGAAAGCACAAGATAGTTCAAACTGGTTATTGCTTCTCCCTAGTGAGCTGGGGTTGCAGTTCAGATATCCCCTAGAACAGGATTTGACCCACTAGACATAGCAAATAGGGGCTGGAAAACGGCATTGTGCCTTCTGGCAGCTGAGCACTATAGGGAGGGTTCTCTGTTCATCTTACTGTGGGAATCATGGCTGTAATAAACTTAATACAGAAGAGGTTTTGAGCAGATGTAGATTTAATGTAATTTAAAATACATACAAAAGTTTTTAGAAATCAGATTAAGTGGTGAACATTAACTACAGTAACACCTAGAAAAGTGTTTGGCAGGAGAGTTCATTGCTTGTCTAACAGCAGCAGTGAGCATCACAGTGCTGGTCACGGCAGCCTCTGCTCTGAGGAGCAGGGTCTGAGCACATGGCAGGGGTGAGGAGGGCAGCGTGCAGGCAGATCTATACAGCTGCCCCATGAAATTTCTTGCCTGTTGAAAAATACTGCGGGTGAGGCAGTGTTGGGTGGGGAAAAGATAGTAAAATACAAGCTGTTTGGGATACCTGAAGGAGTATGGACATGGAGATAGAGAAAAACTGCACATAGTGTCATTCCTTACTTTATTTTAAAATTTGATTTCCATAGTCATACACTGTGAACATTCATTTTGCTGTAATTTATTAGAAGAAAAGAATACCAAGGCAGCTGTTAGAGAGCAAGGTTTGGTGACCCTCCTCACTCATGACTGCACTTCAGAGTAAGGACGTGGCCCAGAGACCTGAGAGCTTCCCAAAGGGAAGGTGGGCTGGGTTTGGTGTGATCTGTGTGTAGGAATTGGTGTGAGCCTGTACGTACAGGAACAGCCCCTGTCCCCTGGGGAAGCTGTGCTCGTCAGCCGTATGGTTTCCATCAGAGTGTTCCTCTGTCTGTTTCTGATTTAAAGTGGAGCTTTGACTAAACCTGATCAATATTTCGCATGCCATGCGTGAAGAACCAGATGTTGGAAGTTTCCTATCGTTGAGAGGGAGGGGGTGATCACCCCCCTAGACTTGCAGAAATCAATGTTCACTGACAGACGTTGGTTGGTTTTCCTAAGAACAATATATTCCTTTGATTTTCAAGTTGATTTGTCTTCTAACAAGGTTCTGGTTTAATATTTTGAATTTGTTTTCTGTGATACGGATAAATTCTCACAAGGGGAAAGTTTAACAGTGTGATGGACAATAACTACACGTACTTGTCCTGTGTTTCATCGCTTCCAGCAACTCACAGCTAGTAGTACTTGCTCATCTGTCATGTTGTCTTACTCTGCTGCTCCTCTCCTCTGCTGGGAGGATGGCGTGTGATGTCACGCCGTGTCTGGGGGTGGATGTGGTGGTGGTGGCACCCTCAGGGGAAGCTGACCCAGGCACAAGGGATATTTGAACATACCTCACATGCATGGAGTGTGAGCAAGAGAAGAGCAGAAAATAAGACATTTTTTGAACTGTTTAAAACAAATGTTTTCCTAAAAACTGCTTTTAAATGAAAGCAGTACAGACTGTGCCTCTGGTTCCCACAGAGACCATGTCCTTAGTATTTCCTTGAACCTGTGACCAGATTTTTCCAAATTGCTCACTGGGGGTTTCCTCTGCCATCTCGCCAAGCCTCTGCTGAGCCCGTTGGCACTCTCTGAGCTGGGCAGTGGTGTTCCTCGGATGGGGGTTCCCTGGCACCCCCTCACCAGCAGCAGGAGGGTCTGGCCATGTGGCTCCTGGAGCCAGACCCGAGGCTGCAGCCAGAGGGGCCAGCGGGCACTCAGCTCTGGGCAGGGCAGAGCGTGTCCTGGCTCGGGCCGTGGCTCTCCCGGCGGCCTCGCCAGCCTCAGCTTTTTCTGTCTTAAGCCACGTCTGTTTCTGGCTCAGGAAGAGGGTAATGCATGCGAACAATAGAAATGAGAGGAAGAAGTTCTTATGAGTGAAAATGGCAAAAGAATCTTTTGAGGGCACCGATGGGATTAGTGCCCTGGTGGATTCTTCAAATATTACAGTGAATTTAATTAAATACATTGTGATCCCAAAAGATGCGAGTCTAATTAGCCAGATCTAGAATACATTTATTCTCTTCCCTCACCCTTCCAATCAGAAGCCTCAGCATCAGCTCCTATCCTATTTTTAATCATTCCTAGACTCAGAGGGCTCTCCTTCCTTCGTGTTAGCTAAGCACACAGCACTGGGTAATATGTCTTTAATCTTATCTTAGCTGTAACTGAGATAATACACATCAGGATTTTTACCAGAAGGTCCTGGCTGCACGTAGGCAATATTTTTGATTGACAAACCTTGATATCACATCCACATTGCCTTACTTATGTGCCTTGGGTGAAGTGCCTAGCAGGGGAACAGTTCTATGAGATGACCCAGAAGACAAAAAGAGGACTTGAGGTTGGACGGTAGGAGCTGGAACAGCTTACTGCTTAGCTGAAATGTCGGTGGGTGGTGGAAACCCCAGCTGGCCTTCACTGAGGAGTCTTTCATGTTGTTTGCCTTTGGTATCCATTTTTCCTCAACTTGTGAGAAGCCCTTTCTCCGGGAAGTAGGAAGGTTACTGTGAACTCCCAGCCCTGCCACTGCCCAAACTGAACAGAGAGCAGCCATGTCGTGGCAGACAGCACAGCTGTAAGCAGCAAATTCTTCCCTCTGCTTTTAGGAACTAATCTCTGCATCCTTGGGATCCATCACATAAAATAGCCATTAGTTTCCCTAGTGGCCTGAGCCTCTGTGTGAGACAGCTGATAGACTTTTGTCACATAATCAAGGTATAATACTTTGGAATTAGTGATATTGGCTGCAATAGCACAGCTTCAGAGGGGAACAAGATGGTTTTTTTCCCAGAGCTATCCTCTTGTGGTGATACCCAGCTGCATGCTCACCACTGGCTTTTCAGTCTGGATCACTGTCACAGCCATCTTCCAGGCCAGGCTGCTGCTTTCTTCCAGATCCAAGGCAGTAAAAGCTAGGGAACAGAGCACTGGATGATGGATAGGATAGCACACGCTCCGCACTCAGAGTCCATACGCTGTTTCCAGGACCTCTCAATCTAATGGGTTCATTGTGTTCTAGGATTGCTTTGGGTTTATTCTTCTTAGTTTTCAATGAGAATTTATCAAATTTAATTTTATCTGTTTGACATGTAGTTGGATCCCCTCCCAGGATAAGCTTTAAATATGAACGAATTAGCCATGCGTAGGTCGTGAATAGTTGTTAATGTTGGATCTGGTATTTTCTTTCACTGGAGGAGGTGATCTTGCCTATCTTGATTTTTGCTTCTGTGTTTGTTTCAGTGTGCTGCGTTTTTCTTGCTTCTAAGCAGGAGGGTGCATGGTACCTTGAGAATAAGCAGGCCTGATCTTACTGCGTCTTCGTCAAAATGTGGTTTCTTACTTCATTCCCAGGTGGCTTTAGCAATTGACAGTGGACTAACCTGGGGAGACTGGATACAGGAAATTCATCTCTCTCTGCTTTGTTCTTCACAGCACCTTCAACATCACGAGAGTGGGGTTGAGGGCGAAAGCTGCTATTACCACTGTGTCCTCTGTAACTACTCCACCAAGGCCAAGCTGAACCTCATCCAGCACGTGCGCTCCATGAAACACCAGCGGAGTGAAAGCCTACGGAAGCTGCAGCGGCTCCAGAAAGGGCTCCCTGAAGAAGAGGAAGACCTGGGACAGATCTTTACCATCCGCAAGTGTCCAGCTGCTGAGTCTGGTGAGTGCTGCTGCCCTTGCATGAGCAGGGTTGGGCCCTTGGTCCTCTGAGGTGCAGGGTTTGTCTGGCAGTGTCAGACCCTCTCCGCAGTTTTGTGGCAGCTTGGTGATGTTTCCTCCCTGCCGTGGGATGGTGCTTATCACTCATTAGTAACACAGTAGGGAAGTCCTGGCTGCCCCGAGGCAGGACAAGACCTGTGTTGTACCTGCACCATCTCACATAGCTCTGTCCCACGGGGCTTGTGGGTGGGGACTCTGAAGCGCCAAATACTTTGCACGTGTTGCTTTTCACTTGTAACAGGGCTAAACACGAATTTGACTTGTAGAATTGTGTATGTTTGTTCCAGTTAGTGTCTTAAACAGTGGAATATTGTGTGAGCATGTAAAGATACGGCCACGTTTGAACACCTCTGACCAGCTAGGGTACCGTGCTTCCTGTGCAGTGTGTCGAGTGATGTCCTGACTGCCTGTGCCAACCTGTCCCAGCTTGTTCATTGATTTCTAGTATTTCAGCTGCATTGAATCAGGAGGGGGAGCTGGTTGAGCAGGTTGACAGGAGAAGGGGTGAGTGTGTGTCTGTTTTCCTTGTTTCCTCTTGACAAGGTGGATAAAGTAAAGGGCTTGGACTGGACCATTCACTCATACCAAAAGGACAGATGGTAGGAAAGGGATTGCAGCTGTGAGTTTATCAAGAGAAAACAGGCCTTAAAGGGGACAGTTAGGCTGGGCAAAACAGAAATTTTACCTTGTTTAAAAGAGCAAAGAAGGTTTTTATGTTAGGAAAACGCAAGATCTCATTAAGTCCTCTTTGGAGGGAGGAGGTGGAGAACCTGCCCCAGTCAGCTGGCACGTGTGCTGTCAGAGATGTGAAGATGCTGGAGCTGGGGGGATGCCAGAGAAAGCCTTTGCAACCCTCATCTCAGCTTCAGCCAGGACTTTCCTCTTTGCCTGCTGTTGAAATGGCTAAATGTTACAGAAAAGCGCTCTGAGGAACTGCTTTCTGCAGTTAATGCACGTAAGAGACAAGTAAAGTGATCTTAGCTTAGAGGTATTGAGAGAGGAAAGCAGCACCAGCTGGAGGATAATACCTCCAGGTCTTAGAAATGCCACTTGAATTAAGACCTGGGCCGCTTTGCTGTTGCTCATGTTAGTAAGAAGGGTCTGAAATACTTGCGGAACACCCAAAAATTAAAACAGGAGATTTTTCATTAAAAGTTAAATTCAGTCTCATGGAAAATGGTGACCGATCTGTGAACTCAGGAGCCCAGTGGAGTGGAGGGCAGGGACTGTGCTTTCCCAAAGGTGATAGTGCCAGGGACAGCATGCTGTGGTCTGCACCATCCCGGAGGGGACACCAGCTCTTACAGCCCTTCTGCTCCTCTGCAATGCTGTGCTGTAGGAAACAAGTCAGATTTCAAATGGATATCTTGACCAGTGCTGTATGGTTTGTAAGTTTTCTTAAGAGGAAAATGAACTGAGAGGAAAAATCATCTTTGCCCTTTTGTGATCTACAGAACAATCTTGAAAATCTTGGTTTACTTTAGAAATTTTGTTTACTTTGTCTTTTACTTTAGAAACCTTATCAGTCCTTGTATGTCTGCCAGGATTATGACATGCCAGGTACTGAGAGTGCAGAAGCTGACTAGCTGACAGGAAAAATGGTTTGTTAACCATTTTTTAAAAATACAGTGTTTTTTTTAACTAAAAGGCTGGACAAGTCATGAAAAGGCCATCTTGATTTTAAAATATTTTACTTTTTCAAATAGTTTGAGATAATTTCCTTTGACTTTGTTGGTTCTTCAGCAAAACCTAACAGCAAACAAAGCACTAAGACTTTCTTTATCGTATTTCGAATATTAAAAATATAAGTAAGAATAAGACTCTGTAGAATGCAAAGGGGAGGGGAAAACCTCTGATCTGCTTTGTAGGTCACGTTGACCTGAAATACTTGATTTCAGACACTCTCCCAGCCCACTGTTGAGCAAAGCTGAGCAGGCACAGCTCAGCATTCGGCAGCTGCAGGGACGAGGTGCTGGGCCAGGATTCCTCCAGTGCCAGGAGTCAGGTTTGGGTGAGAAGCTGCAGGGTCCTTGTGGGGGAAAGTGGCTGCTTCCATCTCCTGTTGATTCTGATCCTGTTATGGTAACAAAACACCAGCTGAAATTAAAGCAGGGTGGCTCCATAGTCCCAGGCCAGTGGCTGTGCTGAGATTGTATCCCAAGGGAAGGTGTGTCAGGATCTGCAGCTCCAGGGCTGCCCAGTTGCTGCCTCTGCCCCCAGGCATCTGGGCAGGCAGAGGCAGAGCCCAGCACCCCAGGGTGCTCCTGGCAGCAGGCAGGATTGGCTTCTTGCAGGGCACAACAATAATTTGTTTCTTGGCTTTGATTTATTCAGTGTAATTTCTTCACGTGTGAAAAGATGTGACTTAAACAGGCTGATCTTTCCTCTTCTTCTGTGACTTTGAAACTTCCAGCATTATAAAATGCTGCTGTTATTTATTATGTAGCTGGTGGTTGTTATTTTTCTGTAGTTTTGAGTGTCAGCAATGCATAGCAGGAACACACACCTACCTAGGCTTGAAGTCACTCTTCCGAGGTGTTTGTTTTCCCTTGGCTTTGGACTGTGCCACCTCTGGCAGCCTGGGTGCCCTGGGCTCTGCCCCAGGCTCTCTGCATTTCCTCCTCCTGGGCTGTGCCACACTGTCTCTGCTGTACCCCTGTTTGGTTTCTACTGTTTTTTTCTGAGAACTGGGCAGACTTTCCTCACTGCTTCCTGATGTGAGTCTCTCGTGGTGACAGATAACACCAGAAAGTCTTCCCTGTGTTCCAGACACTGTGAGCAGGAACTGCTTTTCCCATCTGTCATACATCTCTGTTGGGGCCCCAAAGGGATGCTGAATTTTTTGCCAGTTTGCTGCATTACAAGTTCAGTGGTTTGCTTTGCTGCTATTACTCCTGGTAATCATTGCTGTGATTCTCTCTCCCCTTCTTGTTAATTGTATTTCTTTTTTTTCTAAAGTGAGTCCCCTTTTGTTATCACTGTCTTTTCTGAGGACTTCTAAAGCATTTCAGTCCTCACATCTGTTCTTCCTTTAATAGAACTCCTCTCCAGGAGGGTGGGGTGCCCCAATGTTGGACAGGCTGCCAGGGGGGATTGTGGAGTCCTTGTCCTGGGAGATGCTTGAAACCGAACAGGCAAGGACAAGGACAAGGCCAGGGCCCTGAGCAGGGCCTTGATGAGCACTTGTCCTCTCTGCCTGTAGAGCTGCCAGTGCTCAGGGCTGGGCTGGCAGAAATCCATCCTCTGCTTGTGCTGCTCTGTTCTGCTGCTCTGGCTGCCCAGCTGCTGGTTTGTCTCAACAATGATGGGAAACATTGTCCCTTTCCTTGCTCTTCAGTCTGATGTGCTGTCACCAAAGGCAAGCAGGCACAAAGGATCGCTTTGCAGGGGCTCCCACCTTTCCAGGGGACAGTAGGGCCCAGCTGGCTGCTGCTGCTTCCAGGGCAGAGCCCTGGACCAGCCCTCACAGCAGCCACGACTGCTTCGGTTGCTGATGGAGAGGTTTGCTGGCTTTGCTACAAA